GGGGGGGGGGGATGTCCCTAGAGGTGACACAGGTCCTTAAGGGGGGGACACCAATAGGGCCAGATGGGAAGTCACCACACTTTGTTCTATTCCTTTTTGGGAATGGTTTGAGGGAGGGTGGGGGCTGCTGGTGGCTGTCAGCATTCCTCCCTCCCCCCCCTTATAATAAAACTCCTCCATCACCACCTTTAGTGACACCCTACTCCCTTGGGTCCCATCGTGGTGGGGGGCAGACAGGGGATGGGGGGAGGGACTGAGGCGGTCCCCAATGTCCCCTCAGCTCTGAGAGCACCCGCTCGTACCGGCGCATCAGCGGCGTGGTGGGCAAAGCCACCCCTCCCCAGAGCCCTGAGGACCCCACACCCAGCAAGGTGCCCCCCGTGCCCATGCCTCGACGCTTCGCTCCGGTAGGTGTCACAACTTGTGGGGGAGGGCAGGGGATCACAGGGGGTACAATAGGCAGGGGAGCATCCTTGCTGCTCTCTTTCGTGGATGGAGGGATTGGGGGGGGTCTCATCTAATGTGGGGTGGGGGTGCTGCTGCCCCCTCCCCCTCACTGACCCCGTTCCTGCTGCAGGCCAAGGGGAGGCAGAAGAGGGTGAAGGCGGTGGTGGACTGCAAGGGGGACAAGGCACGGGAGCTGACCTTCTCCAAAGGGGAGGTGATCGTGGTGACGCGGGAGGAGGACGAGCAGAGCTGGGTGAGCACTGCGTGCCACGGCCCTCCCACCCCACTGTCCTTGCATTCCCTTCCTTCTGGAGCATGCTGCTGGGTGATGCCCCATCTAGGGGGTCACCTGGATGATGGCTCTCTCCCTGTGATGCACAACGTGACCCCCACCCCCCGTCCCCCCCCTCTCTGCACCCCCAGGTTGGCTTCATTGAAGGCGACGGCTCCCGCACCGGTGTCTTCCCTGCCAGCTTCGTGCACCTCCTGCAGGACTGACTGCATCCCCATCGCCTGCTCCATCCCCACAGGGTTGGTGGCACACAGGGTGGGCTGTGGCCATCCTCAGTCCCCTCTCTGCTGCCATCCTCTCCTCCTGGCATCGGGTCCATGACATGGCACCGTGCTGGATGCTGCCCTCCAGGGGGACTTGGGGACCCCTGTGTTGGGAAGACCCCTCTGGATGGCGGTTTTGGAGAGCCCAAGGGCTGCCACCCCCCCTGTGGCTGTCGGGCAGAGAATGGAGAGGCTTGCTGCACTGGTGGCATAAGGTTTGTGGGCTCGGCCCATCCCAGGGCTGCAGGGATTTGGGGCTGGGGGCTGCCCTTCACCCTCCTTTCCTTGAGGGGGGAGATGGAATGCGGCCCCCAGTCCCCATCCTCCAGGGGGCAGCTGCCGTGTGCCACCTCTACCATAACTGTGAAGTGGTTGCAATTGGTAGGAAACAAGATCAGGCTTTTCTCCATCATTTTAGGGATTTGAGGGGGGGGGGGGGGGGGGGTTGCAGCTACAGCCTGCCCCCACCGCCTGTCTCTGAGAGCCCTCCAGGGCAGCAGGGCTGGAAGTGCCTTAACACCTCTCCAAAACCCCCACCAACCGTCCTTTAGGTGGGTGCTGGTCACCGCCTGGCTGTGGGGATGTCAAGGTTGGGGGGAAATGAGGGGTGCTCCATGGGGGCCCTGCTGCAGCTGCTTTCTGGGACCAACGTTCCCCCATCCCTGTGATTTATCCTCATCCCCCGGACGTTTCATCTCAAAGAAAGAAAACTTTCTGTGTTTGTTTGTTTGTTTTTCATGTTTGCTCTCTCTCATTTCTAATAAAACCATCATTTTTTAATAAGTGCCCTGTGTGCAGCCCCCTGCCCTCCCCTCCCTCCCCCCTCATTGGGTGATGTCCTTCCATCCTGATGCTGGGGTCCCTATTGGGACAGGAGGGGTGGCAGCAGGGAGCCGGGGCGCGCAAGCAGCACCAAGGGCTGGCCGTGTGTCTCCATTGCAGCAGCATCCTTCCCTCCCAGCTCCCTGCTCTGCCTTTGCTCGGTGGATGGACTCTGGGCTGCGGAAACACCAACAGCACCTCAGCGCGGTGCTGCGCCATCCCTGCAGCTCAGCCCCAGCCGTGCTTCCTTGGGGCCGTCGGTGCCTCAGGGCAGCGCTGCCACGGGCTGAAGTCCAGGCTCTGTGCACCGCGCAATGTTTGCAGCAAGTTGCATCAAGCCTGCGTGGCTCCGGGCGGCACAGAGGCCACGTCCCAGCACCCTCCCAACGCCAACCCTGTGCTCCAGCACCTCCTGGAGCCCCCTGAACCTCCCGGCCCCAAAGGGCGCAGCGTCCCCATCGCATCGCCTCCCCCAGCACGGCAATCTTTGTCCCGCTTTGCTCTGGGCTATATTTAGCCCTGCCCCGTGCTATTTCGCTTGCCTGGCAGGAGTTTGTAACTGGTCGGGACAGCCACACCTCCTTTCCGCTTTCCTCCCTTGCTTTCCTTCCTTCTCTTTTCCCCTTTTCCTCTCCTCGCTCCGCTCCGTGCCGCTGCCCCATGCCCGCTGCGCCCACCTCGCACCCGCACCGCGGCCACCAGCTGCAATTTGCTCCTGCAACCACCAAAGCCTGGAACGTTGCGAGCTCCCAGCATGGGGCCTGCTGAGGAGCTGGTCCGGATTGCCAAGAAATTGGATAAGATGGTGGCCAGGAAGAGCACGGTAAGGCAGGCGAGTGCAAGGTTTGCACAAGCGTGCAGCCCTTGTGCCTATTGCAACAAGGTGTGCAATATTTGCACCTTTGTGCCTGTTTGCACGTGGGTGCAAGATTTGCTTGTCTTGCCTATTGGGACACGTGTGCAATCTTTGCAGGCTTGTGCGAGCGTGTTTGGAGGGTGCAGCAAGGCTTGGGAAGAGGAAGGGAGGAAAAGCACAGGTTTCCCCAAGGCGGGGTGGGAGGAGGAGGAGGAGGGAGCTTTGCTCTGCCTCTGCTGCTGTTGCTCACAGCACAGGGAGAGCTGAGCACCCCAGGGTGCTGGCCCAGCACAAGCCTGTGGACCTGGAGCAGGCATCCATGGGTGCACCCCATTGCTTGAGGTCATGGGGGTGGGGTGTTGGGGGGGTGGGGGTCCTGGGTGAGGACTGGTGGCTCTCAGCACCCCTTGGTGTGGGAGCGGTGTGGGTGACAGGTGCTTGGAGCCCAGCCACCAGCACCCAGAGTGGGTTAGGGCTGGCACTGCGAGCTCAGCAGTGTGCAAAGAACTGAGCAGGGGGTGGGAGCAGCACCCCAAGTGCAGCTGTGCCTTTTGGAACCATGCAAAGGGAGGAGGCTCCCCTGCAGCCCTGGGGTTTGGTGCCATGACCCAGCCGTGCTCCCTGTGCACCAGGTGAGGACCCAGTGGTGATCCGGTTCCATGGGGGGGGAGGAATGGAGGAGAGCTTAGCCCTCAAGGTTAATATTTGACTGTTCCAACCGGACTTTGCCCTGGCAAGGCACGGGCTGCCCTGTGAGGCTCATGGCAGTGCCATCCCCCCAAACCCTGTGCTTTTGGGGATGCTAAAAATGCAACAACTCAGACTCCTTGGCAGCCACGTGGGCAGTTTGCTCTTCCTTTTGCAATTACCTTTCTCTGCAGTTTGCGTTGCTGGAAATGACCCCAATGCTCACAGGTGACCCTGCCCAGCCTCAGGCTGTAGTTTCAGCCCCCCAGCCCTCCTGCTTTAGCCCACTTTGGGGACAGGACGGAGCTGGAGGACAGCATGAGGATGTCCCCTGAGCTGGGAGCTCTGAGCACTACAACTCTGCCATGCTACCTGCACCCTCCATCTGTTCCTGCAGCTCTAAAAATAGCAGGGAGGAAGATGACTCCGTGCAGAGCCGTGCTGGGATATATATAACCCCACAGGCACCCTGTGCCCGAGGGCCAGGCTGGGAACCTGGTGCCATGTGGCCCTTGGGGATGCACTGCTATCCCCAGCCTTTCCCATGGGTGCAGGTTTGGGTTTGATGGGAGCGTTGCTGGTGGTGGACATGCAGTCCCAGTCACTCCAGGCACCCCTTCGGTGTCTCCACTTTGATGGTAGGTCCTCTATGGGTCTTGTGTTCCTTCCCCTGCCGTAGGAAGGGGCTCTGGACCTGCTCAAGTCTCTCACCGGTTACACCATGACCATCCAGCTGCTGCAGGTGAGAGGGGGCGGGGGATCCTGGAGGGATGGTGGCGCTCATCCCAGCGCTGCCACCTGGGGAAGGTGACCCTAGAATGTCCATCCCCAGACCACGCGCATCGGGGTGGCCGTCAACTCGGTGCGGAAGCACTGCTCGGATGAAGAGGTGGTGGCCTCTGCCAAGATTCTCATCAAGAACTGGAAGAGATTGCTGGGTGAGAGGGGCAGAAAGCCCCCCCAAAATGCCTGTAGTGGGGTCTTGGTGCCCCCAGCCCCACATCCCACACTGGGGTGAGGTTTGGTGTGTGCTGTGCCTGTGACCCCCACTCCGTCCCCAGAGTCCTCTGCCCCCCCAAAGAAGGAGAAGGACGCAGATGGGGAGAAGGAGAAGAAGGAGAAAGAGAAGAGGTTGGATGTCCCCAGTCCCAGTGAAGGGGTGAACTCCCAGCCAGCAAAGCACCCCAAGAACCCGACCGAGAAGCACAGAGAGAAGCACAAGGAGAGGTGTGGGGTTCAGTGCATGGTGCAGTGCCACAGAACCAGGATTTCCCTTTCCTTGTGCCAAACTGGGGGCTGTTCTGGGGCTGCTTGCTGAGCCACCCCACTCTCTCTGTCTGCAGGAAGCCCAGCAAGTCCAGCTCCCACGCAGCCCCCACAAAGGGCCACCCCTCTGACCCCAACCCAGAGAGGTACCTACCAACCTCCCCCTGACTGCAGGGCACTCTGGGGGGGCTGTGGAGCACTTTGCTGATGGGGCTGGGCAGGAACTGGTGACACGGGGGTGCCGGGAGCTGAGAGCATCTCCCAATTTCCTTTTGTGCTTTGCCTTGAAGGGAGCCCAGCGCCGGGCGGAGCCCCACTGCACCCTCGAAGAAATCACCTCTGGATGGCAAGAAGGAGAGGTGGGGGCCCTGGGTTGGGCTGGGGGGGACTCCAGACCCACCACTCGGTCCCTATTGCTGTGCACTGACACTGGGCTGCTCCTGCCAGGAGGGACTCTGCCGACTCGCGGTCCTCAGCCACATCTTCCTCTTCCTCCCCGCAGAAGAGACCCTCAGGGGAGAGGTACGGAGGGGGCACCCCCAGCTCTGCATCTCCCAGAGATGGGCTCAGGGATGGGCGCTGTGGCGGTGGTGGCTGCCGGTGCCAACCTCCCCACTGCTGCCTGGCACTGCTGGGGGTGCTCTGACCGTGGGACAGGTTTGCATGCCCCGTTGCTGGTGTTACCGCTGCCGTCCCCCCCATGTCACCCCCAGGAGACCCTCAATGGGTGCCAACCCCTCGCCAGCTCCCAACAGCTCCCGGCGCAGCTCCAGCGACAGCAATGGAGACAGGTAGGACCCATCCGTCCCCCCATCCAGAGGCTGCCGTGCCCCCAAGCTGTGCGGGATCCCAAAACCTCCCCATGCCTCCACAGAGCCAACAGCAGCAAGGGCAAAGCGGAGACACCACGGACCCCCAGCAGCCCCTCCTTCTCACCCAGCATCTGCCTCCTGCCCCCCTGTTACCTGACCGGGGACTCCGTGCGGGACAAATGCATTGAGATGCTGACGGCCGCGCTGCGCATGGATGGTGAGTGGGATGGGGGTGAGGGGTGTTTGGCCCCAAAGGGGAGGAAAAGGAAATGCGGGGGATCTTGGTGAGGGATCTGGATGTGGCCATTGGAAGGGGTTAAGTTTTTGGAAGGACAAGTTTTTGGGCAGAGCCCCTGATAAGTTTCCATTGAGTTTCCATTGACTTTCCCACTGTGTGTCCCATTGGGTACCTGTTGGGTGCCCTATTGTGTGTCCCATTTTGTGTCCCATTGGGTGCCTCCCTGGGTGCCCCGTTGGGTGCCCCATTGGGTGCCCCATTGAGTTTCCCATTGAGTTTCCACTGGAGGTTCCCCATTGGCTGCTTTGTTGGAGCTCTGTGGGTGCAGAATGAGGCCCTTCTGCTTCCAACCCCATCGTCACCCCTCTCCTCTCCCTGCAGATGACTACAAGGAGTTTGGTGTCAACTGTGAGAAGATGGCATCCGAGATAGAAGACCATATCCTTTGTGGTTCCCAGGCTGCTGCTGCTGCGGGGTCCTGGGGTGGGGGACAGGGACAATGTGGTGGAAACAGGGACAGGAATGGAGACAGGGACGAGGACAGGGTGTGAGGAGCGCTGCCAAGGCCTGCCTGGCCCCGCTGCCTGCAGAGGGAGCCCGGAGCCCGTACTAAAGGCTGATGCTGAGCATCCCCAGCCTGCTCCATCCCATATGATCCCACCCTGGTGCTGCGTGTCCTAAATCCCTCTGCTTGGGGACCTGTCTTTCTCCTTAGGGAATGAAATAAGCGCCCCTTCCCAAGCCCAAGGCATCCTTACTGCTGTTGGGTGCCGGGTTCTGGTCCAGTGCAGCACTGGGCTGTTCCATTCTACTGGGACAGGGCCACCTCCTGATCACCCCCAACCTCATGCTTTGGGGTCTCCCCCTCGGCCACAATCAACCCCGGAGACCATTCCTCCTTCAGAAATTTGCTTCCCTTGACTGGCCCCACATATCTTCCAGGAGTTGAAGAGCACGGACATGAAGTATCGCAACCGGGTGCGGAGCAGGATCAGCAACCTGAAGGACCCCAAGAACCCCAACCTGCGGAGGAACGTGCTGTGCGGGGCCATCGCGCCCGCCCTCATTGCCCGTATGACCGCCGAG